CATCCCCCATCATCATTAACGATTATTATTATTATCCACGATATTGTTGTTATCGATGCTGTTGCCGTTATACTACATCAGTCGCCCGCTTTTCATCATCGCCGTTGTCGACGTTGCTGTTGAGATTCAGGAATGGCGGTCCCAAAGAAAATGCGATTCATTTGTAAATCATGCTAATATTACAATCGTTCAATTCAATCTCTCTCATTCTCGGTCGCTATCTTGGCACGGGAGTGTAATGTTGTGTACAAGATTAAGTGTTCTATTTCATATAGGCGAAAAACGTGGCTGAATCCAAAATCGAAATAATCATCATTCCTATCATTTATCATTCTGAAGTAAGTGTACGAGCAGTACATTGTGCAATTTGTTCGGCTTTAGTTAATGTATTCATTTTCAGTTTTGTATGACATGATTTCCATTGCTCCGCGATTTGAAGAGTCTCGAACGAGTAAAACGAGTTCATTTAAATGAAATAATAATGGCAAGAGTTCGTTTTTTTATCGATTGTTTTACCTCTCACATCGTGATAATAGCGTAGCGTATTTATTTGCGTTGTCCTAACTACTCTTATAATCACTCGACGTGAAAGCATACACTCTTGGCATTTTACAACAAAATATTTCTGTATGTACAATTGAATGACAAGTACATCCAATAAACAGTATTTTCAAATATAAATCATTTATGAATGTGAGCTGTATCACATTGAAAGTACAATTGATCTGAATGACTCTTCGTTCTGAAATAAACTCATTTTCGAACATCGACCACATCGATTTATAAATCGATTTGATACACATTTCCCTTTCGAAAGAATTGTTTTCGATTTTAATATTTAATGAGATTCGCTCGGAAGTACATCCGAGTAATTTGTGTGTCGTTATGTTTCATTTCACCACTTTAATTCATAATTGAATGAAACAAATGTAAAAAAGAAAAAAAAATTAGCGACTAATGAAGAAATGGGATTCAAGGGAGTACCGTGCAGTGTTTTCAACATTGTGTGAGTTTCATTTTTCCGAGAGTGAAATTTCAAATTTGCAGAAAATTCACTTAATTGGTATGTGAATGCGCGCAACGGGCAAATGTTGTTATGTCTGTAACATCATATTGTACCACAAAATGTGTGCTCCGCTGTCTGCTGTTTATTCTATTTTCATCTGAAATCGGAAACGCTGTGTCTTGTACACTTTTTTTTAATTAAATACATCCAAACCGAGAACAGCACGTATGCGACGTTTTATGTGCTGCTGAACCAATTTACAGTCGACAATAAAGAAAGCACTTTTGCGCGTCGTACACACACACACCCACACACCGTATAATCAATGGCACATGCTGAATGTTCTATATATTGGAATTTAATTCTAAATGATTTAATTGTGGCAAACAACATTCGTGCACATTTCAGGCACACACACACAGAATATGTGATGCAAATGGATCGAATAAACATGAAATGATAAAGTTCACAATCCATTTGCGCAAAACGTAGATTGTTTTTTGTCTCTGCGGCAATGGCCGAACAGAAAACGGTTACGTTTACCAAATATTTGAAATTAAAATGTGTGCACAGTGCAAAATGTGTGTTGTTCCAGACATAAAGATAAACGTGCATATATTACGATGTTCCAGAGAATTGATGATTTTGCTACTTTGTGACGATGACAAATTTATTGGCGTCAGACTTTGAACACATAATGAATTTTCGATGCATACGCACATTGTCAATAAATACGGTTTGAGATGTTAAAATTGGCGTTGTGCGTTGGCGTGTTATTTTCATACGATAAACGTCTCGGCTTATATTGAATGTCAATAAAATGTGATGATGGTCTTTAAATGCGTTTAAGCGTCAAACAATATGATACGATGGAATGTTATTCGCGCCCATAATTCCACCCAATAAAAATACAATCTCTTTCTCTAATTAAAATAAAGTCCCGAGCTTTTATTGCACCAACAATATTACGCACAAAACAGAAATTACTTTTTTCATTTGTGAGAGGGGCCAAGAACACGTGCATATTTTATGCATTCTTTTTGCCATTGAGACAGAGGCAGACATATCACAATTTGATTGATGAATTTTTCATTTTGGGAATTGCATATTTATGGCCATCATACTGCGCCATGATTCAAAGCGGCCGCGCTTTTGAGGATGCGAAAATGCTTGGCTGGCTGTCACTGAGCCATTTCGGCCGAATGTCAAATTGAATAAAAACAAATTATTGCGACACTGGAAATATAATGCGCACGTGATTATTAAATGAAATTTTTACGTTTGACCGTAAAAGGAAATTAAACATAAATCCATAAAAGAGTGGCGGTACATGTATCAGTTGGCCTGTCACATTGCGACGAACATTCTGTTTTTTTTAAAAATATATTATATTAAAATCCCATTTGAATGAATATATTAAATTATACTTAACGTGGGGGATGCAATTTTAATTTAGGCATCGTTTCGCTTTTACGAATTTTGGAGCGCAAACATAAAACGTTTTTGTGTAGCCGTAAATCGATTTCGCTTGAAATGTGATTTATGAAATTGTGGTTGACGCAAATGCTGTTTTTGTTTCACACACGTGAGTATTTCTGCTTATTAAACGCATTATTACCAGTAAGTTTTTTGTTGCTATTTCAGGTCGTTCCATTTATAAATTTTGAATTAAACACACGTTGGGGTTGAACATGCATTTTTTCCTGCAAAAAAAAAACACACACACTCACATTATGTCAGCTTCCGGCATTTATACACAAAGGATTTGAATTGTGGGCAAAAAAGTGAAATCAATTTGCGTAGACTGATGGAACGATCCCAGCGAGAGTGTGTGTGTGTGTGTGTGAGAGAGAGAGAGAGAGAGAGAGAGAACACAATTGTGTTGCATCAATATAGATTAATATAGATTTTCACAATGGATGAACGGGCCAATTCAAATACCGATTATTATCCCTCATCATGTATATCGATGCCTTTTCAACTCAATAATTCCCCGCTCAGCTAAACATATCGTCATCATCATAATTGTGGTGATAAAAAGTCGTTTTTCTCTCTTCGCATTTTCAAAAAGGTCAATTGACCTTTTTAACGGCTATGGCAGATAGATTGCATGATTTTAATATGAAAGCAAATGTGTGATGGATGGAGATATAATTGAACCGTTTGATGTATACTCAAGCTTAGTTAGTCCCTTCGGAAAGGATTCTGTGTAAGATGCTTTCATCGATCCATATTTTTTTTCTTTCCATGCATGACTTGAAATGTGTAAAGTGTTCAAAATTCGTGTGTTTTTTTTTGGTAAACATAAGCACAACAACCTAAGTCCATTTTTATTAAGTTTTTATTTTCGTGTGCCGAATTAGAATGCATCCGCTTTTTTGAAGAGCGTAAGGAATTCATTGTATTCCGAAAATGTATACTTTACACTCAACAAAAGGGTATCTCGTTGACAATAGAGCTGCTTTGCATTCATTTCCGTTCATTGTAAATTGTCAACTCATTGTTGGGATGCACTATATTGTATTACAATGTGTGAGTTTGTGTGTGTGTGTTCAGATCTGTGTTGGCCGTGTAACAAAGAGAGATTTAGACAGATTGAATGCGAACGAAAAGAGCTTCGTAACTTATAGATTGTCTCATTTTATCTGTGTAACCACAACATGAATGGCGTTTTTCTCTTCGTCTTTGATTGAATACCAGCTTGGTTCACCGCTTGTATGCGGTTCTTTTGGATACTAAACAATTTTTTCTTCTCTTTATTTTTCCAGGTATCGGATTACCGCATGGAATTTTGGATGTCTCACATCAAATGGTCCAATACCCAACGCAAGTTCTTCGTTCTCTCTCTCTCTTCGTCGGCTTTCCAATTGGGCTTTGACAGGAAAAGCTTTCATTTATAATAATTTATATATTAATAATCTTTGGAATGGCGTATATAGTGGTGAGTGAAGGGTTGGTTTTATCAGAATAACCGCAAATATACATAAATAACGATGTGTTGAAAAGTGACGGTAAGATCGGTGCAAACTTTGAACAGCATCAATGTGCCACTCCATCATTCGTGCCTTTTGATCACATATATTCAAATTTTCGTCTATATACAGCACAATCAATTGTTTCATTGTGCAAACAAAGTAATCAGGTTCACTTTATTTACCTCAATGCTGTCTACGTTCTGGCCAAAAGTATTTTTGGTTTTGTTTTATGCGAATCGGTTTGAGACTGCCTTTTTCCCAAAAAAAACGAAAGTTATTGAATAAATTACACAAAGTCTTGTGTTTCACCAGTTAAATCGGCTTATATTTTCCATTTTGTATTTTAGTCTTCATTTTCTTATTCTGGTTTTTGTGCAATGTCAAATCAATGGCACAAAAGATAAGAGCGTCTCGTGCATTACTTTCGTTTGACGGTGTTTCTTTTTCGGCAAGTAAAACAATACATCAATAATTAATTAAGTACGCGGTATGTGTGTGTGTGTGTGTTTTTAATATAAAAGGCGACCGGCTGTACTTACACTTAACGGCTGTGCGCGCGCTAAGGTTTCGTATTTCTTATTCTTTAAATAATAAATCGTTCGGATTGTTGGATGGAATAAAGAGAATCAAATGACGAGTTTGAGTAAATATTGTCGATTCGTCTGGCAAAATCGGCCTTTTATAAATGGATTGATAATTTGACATTGAAATTAAAAATGTTCAAAGTGCAATTTGTCTTCGTTGACTGCATTTTGCTGACGTTTGCCGTTTTTCCATTGGGAAAAAAACGATGTAATTCACTCGCTTTTTGCTTTTTATTTCGATTTAATGAATGTTATTCTTTTGAGATTTTTTTGCTACCGCTCTCTTTCGCTCTCTCCCCGCGCTGTTATGAAATTTTCATCCTCTCAATCATGTGTCATGGTTCTTATTTTTCCATCAATTTTTGCTTGCTACAAACTTTTTTTTTATTTCAATTTTCAGCAATTAATCAAAAAGTGCAAAAAACGGTAACTTACCAGTTGAAAATTGATTTTATCTCTGTCTCTGGCAATGCGTTCCCAATGGGTTTTCAATCTGCAACAAAAGAGAAGAGAACGAAATTTTTTAGATGGAAATATGATTTATCTTATTTCAAGTTTTCGATTTTTCGATTTACAAGTATATAACAACAAGCAGAAAAAATTGATCAAAGTCTGATTCAATTCCACTGCAGGTAGAATGTAGATGGAAAAAATTCAATTTGAATGGAAAAACTGCAATTTTGCTGATAAACCGAATAAAAATGAAATCTATAGAAAAGAGCCTTCAGTGCGTCACTTGTGGTTTTGGTTTTGGTAAAATTTAGTGAAATTGAGGTGGTGTTATTGCAAAAACAACTCGAACCCGATTAGTTTTCAGTGGCATTGAAATGATATTGCACGAATACACACCGATTTTAAACCATTTTGATACGGTTATTACATTTTAAGTTCATTTATCAATGTTTAATGCAATTATTACTCATTATCACCCATTTATTGTGAGCGCTGTATGTACGAGTGTTTGTGAATTTTCTTCCGTGTTTTGGGATTGTGTTGTCGTGCGACCATATATTATCCCAATTTTTCAATTACACCAAAGCCATTCATCAATGTAGTTACTTGTTACCAGTTAACTGTAACTATTATTGCGTTTACTATGTGTGTGTGTCTCTGTGTGGGTTGCTGTGTGGTACCGGTATTTAATGTTAGTCGAAGCAGTTTGAACGCTTAAGCAATCACTTTTAATAGAAAGCTTCATGTATATGGTTTACGTTACGAAATTGCTCATATGTTGCTGTTCTGCTATCCTTTTCGAATCTCCAATATTTTCGCTCCATCTTTCACTTCGGAAACGAAACTTTAACGAATTGTGAGTGAGTATGAGTGTTTGTATGTATTTTCATGTTGTATAAGTCATATATGTACAATTGATGTGTTTACATCTGTGCCAAGCATTTGTCGTCTCTGTTATGTCGAGACATAAAATAAACCCGTAGCAAATGGAAAAGATCGTTTAGTTCGACGAGGTTGTTATTTAATGTTCGGCGAAAAAAACAGCGAAGAAGAGAAGAAAAAACAACTACTACCAGCTATAAAGTATGAACGAAGCCAATACAAACTAATGACAGTTGCTATTAATGTTACCAACATATACTAAGTTTCCGTTGCATTGTGTCAATTTTATAGACCTGGATAAATGACGAAGAACATGAATGCCATTCATTTGCTATATAACTTGGAATCGCTTTTGGTATCGTTGCGTTCAGCCTAGTTGTTGTGCTTTATTTTCTTGATGGGTTTGTACAGTGCCACAATTTTCTCTTCTTCGGTCTTTTTCTGTATATTTTCTCTCAATTTTTCGTACGAAATTTCGAGCATCGCATTGCGAGCAGCGCACGATGAGTTTATTTCTTGGGGGCAAGAGTGAGATGGAGCGGTAAACAGTATATGTTCGGCAGTTTTTGTGCTCGATGGCACAAATATCCTTTTGATCTAATTTTCAATCATATTATATACATTGTGTTCCATTTCTGTTGTGAGCATTGTGTTTGTGGATCTGATGAGAACGATATACACACATTCACATTCATGCCGGCAAATAGATCAAATTGCCGCTGCTGCTGATGCTGTGCATTAAGTTTAGCATCGGTATATAAACTCATCTCTTCTTTCTCTCGTTCACGATACAACCAAATGAATTATTACATGAACTATATAGTTTTATAGTAGTGGCTGCAAACTGTGCTGGGGCAATGTGAACAACGGATAAAAAGTCGAACACACTCACCCATATTATCAAATAACAGAGAGTGAGAGAAATTTATATTTGTTCCCAGAGTGTGGGTGAGAGAAAGAGAGAGAGAGAGAGTATGTAAAAATAATGGTTGCTATGATGTGCCTGTCGTTCATTGTTGTTATTTTTATTACTCTATCGCTATTTATTTTACGAGTTTTTCCTGCTATCTCACTCGCGCCGCCACAAACTATCTTTCGAATAGTTGTTATTCGTGAGCCCTCGAGCTTCAGCCCTTGTTTCATATAGATGTTGCATGTATGTGCGTGTGTGTGTGTTGGCGTATGTGTGGCATTCGTTATGTCACTCATGTGTGTGATAAACGCCGTGCAACACCATTTCTGCCGTTACACAACTTATTCTGCACGAAGCGGATGTAGAAGTGGATAGGTATACATTTGGTACTCTACATTTTCGAAATACTATAAATTGTGGTGCTGCTGCTACTACTGCTATTGCCATTTCTGCTGCATGTGTTACTTCCTGCGCTTCGCTCTTCTCTCTTCTTCACTGCTCTTCACCTCTGACGAGAATATCGATTTTCAACCGTATTCAATGCAAACATTGTACCGAGCGCACCAAAAATAGACTCATGGCATATTGGAATACAATCGGTGTTGTATGTGCTTGTTTGTTGTGCGTATTTAATAATTACATGGCGTAGCATTCGAAAGTGTTTAGAGTAAACGAACATTCATTCTTGTTCTAGGTAAATTTGTGTTTGATCATGAAATTCTTGTTTCTGCAATTTTTCTTCTCTGTTTTCGGTTGAATTCTTCACTTTTTTTCCTGCTCATACCCCCCAGATATTCAAATGCATTTAGCGGATGGAATGAGTGTTTGGGAAAATCGAGTATTTCTACTGCAAATATTTGTCGTTTTTGTTGTTGTGATAAATAACTAAATTAACGATTGCTACACAATGAACCGTTGCAAAATAGAAACATAAAAGAGAAATAGACTTAAGTATATGCCCTATTTTGCTCTATTTTCTATTTGGTTTCGATTTTTTTTGCATATTAAGGCAGAATGATATTGGAGCATGCCAAGTAAGCCATATCAGAAGAAGCCTGTTGTAATCGACCATTCAAAATGGATTTGCTTGGTTCTTTCTAAATTTTTAATTATTATTGATGCAGATTTCAACATACATGGATACAGAAAAGAGCTAAAGAGGCTTATGCTCGCGTCACTGGTGCAAATGGCTTGGATTAATTTTTAATTTGGTTTAAATGCATTAGTGGATAACAGAATCAAGTTTAATTTAGTTTGTGACTAAAAACATATAATTCACTATCTCTCGCTCGATCTCTATCTCTCGCTTGTGTTGAAATGCAATTTTCTGAATTAGCAGCAATTGGATTTTGAAAGACATCAAATAGCGCTTCCGTTACGCATCAAACACATAAATTCATTATGTGTAGCAAAAACATACACACGTACGTTTCGGGTTGTCAGTGTTTTGTTGTTGTTTTTTTAGCGTAAAGTCACTTACTCTCTCCTCTTTAACTCTCTTTGTCAACAAAATGAATTTTACGCCCGAAATATGCTGTTGCCCCAATTTTAACATGAATCAGCTTCGTGTTAAGTGTTTAATTGATAGAATAAGCGAAAATGTGAGCAAGCAAACTTTTTTCCGGATTTTCACCCATTTTCCGTGAAATAAAGATAGAGGAAGGAAATATATCAAATATTCTAGATATTTGAGACTCTTCAAAGCATTTTACATTGAAAGTAAATTCACTTCTCGAATTTCATACGGTCTCCGCTCTGTCACACACCGAAATATTTATATTTCCACTACAAACACTTTTTACGTTTTGCCATCGCACATTGACTCCATAACTCAATTTCCTAAATAAACAAACACTCAATAATAATAATATAAGTATGAATACTACAATAGGCTTTCGAGAGCGAGAGCAAAAAAAAAAAGGAAAAGAAAGAGAAACGAACGGGCGCTTCGGGTAAAGTGCGCTTCGATTTTCGCTCATCAAAAATGAACAAGATTTTCCCGGGTCAATTTCTATTGTTTGTGGGGCCAAAGTGAAGCAAGCATTTATTGCCATTTGGAATAGCATCGGTCCAATTAATGGCACCATTTATGTAGAATGCCAAGTAAATTACCACTTTTTTCATAGTATGTGTGTGATGATGCATATATACATAGAAAAATATGTGGCCATTTCGTAATGCGAACAACGCGCCCCATCCATAAATTATTGGCCATGCAATCAACGAATAAAATAGATGGCTTAAAAAAAGAGTAATGATTTAACCGAACGAAAACGGAAATGCGCGCTTTTAAGCGCATTTGGATCGACAATTTTTGATTCATGACGACTGGCCACATTGCATATATAAATCCATTTTCCATTCAATATGAATGCGATTCGTGCGATATTTTTCAAAACGAACTGAATTGGATATGAGTTTTCCACGAAAAATTTACCATCTTCGCCTGAACGGATATGTATACATGCCGACATTGGCAAACCGTAAAATACATTTGCATACGCTTCGCTCAACTCATTTTACCATACAATTTTATGTAGTTTCTTTGGAAATAACATTAAAACTTTTCTGCCCTTTTGAAAAAAAAAAAAAAAAAAATAACTGTACATTAAATAAAATGGATGAACAAGAGATAAATTCGAAATTTGCTGAGCAAGTGCAAATAATTATTTTTTTTTATGCAGTTTACGGATGTAATTAATATCACCTGACTGATTTAATGCGGTGTAAAAATCAAACGGACTCGCTTTTCTCGCCGATTTAATGAGAAAAAAAAATCGATGAATTTATCGCGGTTGAAATCGCGATTTGTAATTCGATTCGAGAAATGCATTAAATTCAATAGAAACATTTTTGCCGCTTGAGTTCATTTCATTTCGCATGAACATGCATAATAAATCATTTATTTGATTCCACTACATCGCCTTTTTAAATAATGTATCTTTCATAATTAATTTTTAAGCTTACATAATAAAAAAGACGAAGACGAAAACTGTATGCGAAATTGGACATCCATTCAAAATGACCTGCAAAATTCGTTCCAATCGAATTTATTTATAAATAATTCGTTTGGTAATTTGGTGTAAAAGTTCGATCGAAAAAAAGAAACCACACATTCATTCACGTATTCGAGTTAATAAAAGGAATGTTGCTTTGTGCATTGTTGAATGATTTAGCTGGAGAACGCTTTATGCGGGGGAGGAAGATACGATGAAGTAAGATTGTCCAAACCATCGATCCATGTA